ACAGTGATCACACAGATTTTAAACCACTGTCGACACCTCCTTTCTGTGGAAAATGCTGTTAGAAATCCTGGCACCAGTTTGTGTTAGTTCTTAAAGCTGAATCCATTAGGAAGGAGTGCAGAGGCACTTGGCAGCATTTCACTCACCGGGTTTGGTGGCAGTGAGCTGCACCAAACACACACAGTCAGGCAGAACTCAGTGTTTAATGAAGATTTAAAGCTGAACAGCAGTGTCAGAGGCTGTGGAAAACCACAGCTCTCAGTGACAGGTACCAGCCAGGAGTGCTCTGGGTGGTGACCTGCCTGGTACACACACACTCTGTGAAAACACAGCTCTTTGAATGTGGAGCAAACAGTAAGAGCAGTCAGAAATCCCCATTTCCTCCTCTCCCGGTGTGTGGTCAGGGAGCGCAGAGAACAAGGGCTCCCAAGGTGTTTCCGTGGGCTGAGAGTTGCCATGAGAACCAGGTGTTTGTTTGCACACACCTCCCTGGCAGCAGCTCCACACACCAGAGGCTGCAGGACTGGCCCTGGTAGAGGAACAGCTGGACTTTCTCCCTGAGCCCACAGAGATCTGAAGACTCCAAAAATTCCCCTCAAACGAAACTGAGTATGAATCCTCCTTTAGGACCTATGCTATGGACCTGTGCTAGAACCTCCTCTTCCCTGTGCTTCTCCCACGTCTGGGATTGATTTTTGAGTAGGAATTTTCCATGTGGCCTGTGGGAAGATCCCTCTGGATAGCTCAGTGTGAGTCACAGCAATGTGCAGCTGACATGGCCCGTGCCCAGCACCCACTGGTCCCCCAGACTGGGACAGCTTCCCTCTCTCTGGACTTGGCAGTGGCCTCTGCATTGCCTTTGCTGCTGCCTGCAGAGACCTGACTTTTGGAACACATCCTCCTGTCCTTAGGATGTTTGACTGGTAAATAATAGTTTCCAGCCCCATCATACCTTGCTGCGATTTCCCAGCCAGATAACAGGTTAAAGGAAGTGTCAAGATCCATGCAGTGAGTTGTGTTTCACTGCTCAGGGCCTGGTGCCCCAGCTGAGCTAATTCCTTCCCACTCCACTTTTAATCACACCATAAGAAAATGTGTCTTATTTTCATGTCTGAGGTACTTTACTCCCTGATGTGCTTTATCATTGAAGTTCTGGGCTGATAGAGCAGTCAGAAGTTTAAAACTATTTATGTTTCCAGGGAAACAGGGACAATAATGAGGCATTTACACACCTTGACCAGTGTCAAGGATTTGCCAAGTGTTTACACTGTTCCCAGTTACTGAAATGCTCAAGCTCTTTGGAACCTTTTATGTATTTTCCTCATGCTTTGAATCTATTCAAATATGATAGAAATGGCAGTTAGTGAGAAACCAGTGCTGTGCCCAACAGTACTGACACAGTCTGTGTGCACAGGAATGGTCCCAGTTCAGCTCAAAGCACTGAGCCATCACATCCCTTTGGCCATGACCAAACCAGACCCTGGACAATGTCTTGTCTGCATCTCACTCTCACAATTTCTGGTAAAACAGAAGACCTACATGACCTTATTTCTTCCAGTGTATAACTTGTCCATTCCCACCTGCATTTCCCTTCACCACGTTCCCTCTGATTTGCAGAAACAGTCATTTTGAGCAGTTTCCAGTGCTGCTCTTCCCTCTTCTCCAGCTGCTGGCAGCTGTAGGTGCATGTGCTGGGACCTGCCTCTTCAGCACAAAAACATTCTTGTCTCTGAACCTGTTGGCACATCCAGGGAATACATGGCTCTGCCAGGTTTGGGGGATTAACAGGAGTGATTAATGATGGGCTGTGAAAGACAGAGAGCTAAGAACAGTTCCTTGGGCAGATGTTCACCGCAGTTACCTTATTTGGTTCTTCCCATAAGGATGTTTACAGGGAAAATAGAAAATTTGATGTTTGAATTAAAGAGCTGCAAATATTTCCTACCTCTTGTCTTCAGGAGGGAAGAAGAAAATCCCAAAATGTAATCTCAGAGTGCCTGGGACATGAGCAGTAGGGAGGAGCAGCCAGTTCCAGAGGGTGAGCAAGAGAAGAGATGAGACAACATGCGCATGTGAAAAAGCAACACATTTGCACTGATGGAAGCAGAGGCAGAAAGGAAGGACTACCAGAAGGGACAAACATTTAAAAATTGGAAAGCTAAATTCAGAATCATAACTTGGCTTTGCCCATTCATCCATGGAAGCATCTGTGGAATTGCAGCACCAACCAAGTGGGTTAAAACGTTCAGCGAGTTCCTTTCATTGCCATTGCATTAGCAATCCCTGGAAGCAAATCCAGCAGGATGTGAGAAGATAGAAGGATCTCCCATTGCCACTCAAGAGCAAGGAAAAAGGATTTACAGGACTAGTAATAAAACTTCCCTGAAGCAACATGAACAATTCTATAAAGCAGCAGTGACTGGCACAAGGCAGAGCAGATGAAGGTGAAGCAGAACCAGGTCTCAGCCAGGAGTTTGGGTGTGACTGGATGACTTCACTTGAAAAAAATGTCTCCCTTCCCCTCTGATAAGGTACAGATACAGAAAATTCCCTGCACTGACCACTCCTTATCAGGGAAAAGTTGACCCTACAATAAATAAGGTTTACGTGAGAAAGAGAGATCTGCACCAAGTGCTAAAAGCAGTTTCTTTCTCTTGCCACACTAAAGGCTTTTCCAAGAATTTAAGTACACCTTCCTGCCTTAAAGGAGGCCCTACAAAAGCAAACACATGCAGCCACTGAGATAAAACAGAGGTGGAATGTTAAAACCAAAAGCTAAACCTTTCTGGACACTCAGAGTTCAGTTTTAGCAAAAAATGCTGTGTGAGGGATTGATTTAGTCCCAGAAGCTCATGATATATTCGGTGATATAAATCAGATGAATCCATTTGACTGTGTCCCAAGCCTTTCCTCTCCCTACACCTTCAGCTGTACTTCCAAGCTGCCACGAAGAGTTGCAGCGCATTCTCTGGAGGATTCTTCCCTGTGAGCTGGCACGAAGTCAAGTGCCTGCAGCACATGATGGATATGGTGTGATAACACAGGGGCATTGCTGCTTTTACTCAAGGGGCTTCAGAGGGAATGCAGAGACCTTTCCAGGTCATGAGCTGGATTGTAAAATACCATGCAGCATCACACATGTGCATTTTATTTTGTAAAACCCAAAATACACTGCTCTGAAATCCTGACATGGGAACCCAGGGAATGCTGAAGGAGAGCCTAAAGGGAAGGACATTCCTCTCTCCTTGCAACAGGACACAAATCTCCAAGAGAACACACTGGTATTTATCCCCCTTTAAGCATCCTGCATTTCTGTTCAGTGAAGAAAAGCACATGGATTGGTGCTTTTGATAGGATTCTTTGTGCTCTGTGGACTTTAATACTTAACAATAAAATAGCTGTTCTCCTGGAGCTGTCTCTGTCTGCAGCTTCCTGCCACCACCACTTCACCTGTTCTCAGTGCTTGGAGCAGTTACTGGCTGGGCAGGTTTGTCCCACCCAGGGCTGAACAGGACATTCAGGTCTCTGGAAGGAGCGACCAGAATGTCTGGCAGCAGCAGCTTCCCCTGTCCCTCTGAGCTTCACAGCACAGGGGGGAAAGCTGTGGCAGGCAGCAGCCTCACAGAAAGAGCTCAGTTGTGATGTCCCAGGGCTGAATGTGGCACACATCCTGTGTGTATTCAGTGATATATTCCATTCCTGAGTCCCTGCAGAATTCCTCCTTCTCATGCAGCCTCCCCATTAGCTGGTGGCACAGGTGCCTTGGCTGGATTCCTGTTCACTGTTTGTTCTTTCCCTCCCTGACTTTACCCTCTGTACACAGGGAGTGAGTGCAGCTCTATTGTGTGGCCTGAAACACCTGGAGCATTTTTCATGGCTATAGAAAGGCCTGGCAGCTCCTGAGAGCTGCAAATGCTGGCAGGCCAACATTTCTTCCTTCTCTAAAGCACTGCTGGGGAGGTCTGGAGGGAGAGAGAGAAAGAGAATGGAAGGAAAGCTGTGAGCATCCCCTTGTGGGTTAGGGATGCTCAGGGAGCTGCTGGCAGAAGCAAAAGCCTTTGAAAAGTCCATCTTGGATAACAGAGGACTTGAACATTTTAGAAATAACATCTTCATGTTTCTCAAAGACCAGAAGACAAAGTCAGAGGACTTGAACATTTTAGAAATAACGTTTTCATGTTTCTCAAAGACCAGAAGACGAAGCGATTCTGTTTCTTCTCTCTTTCAGTAGCAATCAAAGGACTCTGTGTGTAATCAGGGACTTGTCTCTGCTCACTCACAGTACTCAGGGATGTCACTGCTTCTCTCTGCTACCAATGCAACCACAGCTGCTTAGAAGAATTCTTGTGTCTGTAGAAAAACAGTCTGAGACATGTTCTGTGTCAGCCCAAACAGAACCAAGGGCAAAGAAAGAAACAGAGAAAATATCACTTCTGAAAGAAGAACTTTTCTCAAGGGGAGTGAGGGAAACAGAGGGCTGGGAACAGGTTTTGTCAAGGTCTGCACACATTGTTCACCGTTTGGGCTCCTTTCAAGCTCTGTTATCAGGCTGAATCACTCTGTTAAACCCTCTGCTGAGATTACATGGAAAGCCGTTGGTCGGTGTTGGCCGCAGCCACTGTGTGCTCACAGCCCCTTTGTCTCCAGGCAGGTAAACTCTAGGCAGGTTTAGGAATGCTCCCCTCAGCAGGGAGACACCTCCACCAATTCCCACCTTCTGCTTGGAGAGGCAGTGGTCAGGGGAGGAATCGCCTCCTCTGTGTGGACCCGTTTGGGAAGGAAACAGCCCATGCCACAGCCACTGACCAATAAGGGCCATTGCCGCGTTGGCAGAAGGCTTAGGGCTGATAAATTCCACGGGGCTCAGATAACACATTCTGGAGACAACTCCCATTGTGACCGGGATAAAAGCGCTGGGGTGGGGGAGCAGAGCTCACTCCTGCCTCGGGATCACCGACCTGTGAGCTGCACCTTGCGTTAGGTCCTCGCTCTCCATCCCCATGGCCACTTACAGCTTCAGGCAAACCACCTCCTCTGTGTCGGGGAGACCTGGCGGCTCCTCCGTCCGCTTCGGCGGCGGCGGCAGCTTCAGGTCACCCAGCATCCATGGGGGATCTGGTGGCAGAGGTGTGTCCGTGTCCTCTGCCAGGTTTGTCTCCTCTGGCCTGGGAAGTGGCCTGGCAGGGGGCTATGGAAGCAGCTATAGCAGCAGCTTCAGCTATGGGGGTGGGCTGGGGGGCGGCGATGGGCTCCTCTCTGGAAACGAGAAGGCGACAATGCAGAGCCTGAACGATCGCCTGGCGTCGTACCTGGACAAGGTGCGAGCGCTGGAGGAGGCAAACGCTGACCTGGAAGCCAAAATCCGGAGCTGGTACCAAAAACAAGGGCCAGGCCCAGCTCGGGACTACAGTGCTTATTTCAGGACTATTGAGGACCTTCGAGACAAGGTAGGTGCTAATATTTATCAACAACCAGCTTAGATTTGCACCTGAGAAGGAGGAATGAGAGCCCAGAGAGAAAAGCTTCACTAGGGCACCCCCAGAAGGCACTGCAGGTGGTGAGAAGGAGAGGGAGATGAGAGGAATGTGTAAGGAATGGGCTGGGGGATAAAGAAAATGTCCATATGGAATGATCTCCCTGTTTAAATGTTAGCCAAGAGAAGGAACAAACCAGTCAGTCTTAACTCCCTGCTAGTGTTTGCTTTGAACAAAGCACATGTTCATGTACACACAGAGACACACGTGCTGGTCCTGGGCACACATGTGACCAGTTAATCTATCTGTGACCAGTTAATGTGTCTGTGACCATATACAAACTGATCAATATAAAGAGAGCCAAGCAGTGACAACAACCTGCCTGTCTCTGTAAGCTCTCACCTGCCAGAGCTTGAAAATCCTCAGAGGTTCATACCTACTGCTGTAAGAGTGAAAAGAAAAATGGGTTAAAGGCAACTTTTCTTTCACATTTCACATATTTAGCTTTGGATTGAAAGAAGAGCACTGAAACCTTCGACATAGGGGAAAAGGAAGCAGCAGACATGAAGTCATCAATGCCACATACAAATGCAGAATCTGTCCCAATAGCCCATGGGTAGCAGATGGCTGAGGTGATACACACCCTGCAAAGCACTGGGAGTAGCTGATTCAACTATGTAAATAAATACAAGAAATCTTGAGGTTTGGTTTTCAGAGTTCAGCCTGGAGTTCATGTCTGTTCCCACGCAGGTTTTTATCCCATCCATGTTGGGTCCTGATTTAAAACCTGAGGTGTGGTGGAGGCAGGACTGGCAGTGGGATTTTCTCCTTTTAGTGTTCTTTACTCTCCTGGCTTTCACTCCCCTTAGTTAGGGGATAGAAAACGTCGTTCCAGCTGTTTTTGTGGATGACCTTTTGAGTTTTAAAGGTGGCAGACAAGGAAGTCATGCTTCCAGGAAGTAAAACTGAACAGGGATTCCTTCTGAATAAACAAAAGTTCATTTAGTGGCTTTGACTGTTCATTAAGAAAATCAATGAACACTATCCTGTGTATTCTAGGAAATAAAACTGTGTTCAGAGATGATACCTCTAAGTCCTCTCCCTCTAAGCCAACACAGTTTTGTCTCAAGGTGAAACTTCCACCTAAAGCCACTCACACATAGCTGATAACTGTGGCAGGAATGTGTGATAAATCTGTGCAAAGTGTTTGCTGCAGTTCATTGATACCTCCCTACACCTCTGTTTGCTGTAGCTACAGATGAAATGGAGCCCTCACTCTTATCTGCAGATCAGGGAAGCAGATAACAGTGTTTCAGCCCCAGCTCTTGTGTTTGCAGATCCTTGATGCCACCACCGATAACGCCAGGACTGTGCTGCAGATCGACAATGCCAGGCTGGCTGCAGACGACTTCAAAACCAAGTGAGTCCCTTCTGAGAGGAAGCAGGCAAAAATCCTTGTTGAGACAAAGGGCAGTGGCTGTGAAACACGAACAGAATGCCCATAAACCCCTGTATGAACACTGCTTTGAGCCTGTCCCTGCAGTTCAGCCCTTCATGTGTTTGCTAAAAGCACCATCTGCACCACAGATATGTGGAGAAAGGGTTAATGCCTGACACCACACATCCTACAAACCCAGACACATTCCTAGCAAATAAGGTGGGGTTTTGTGGGCTTGATCAGTGAACCTGAATGGGTTTGTCTTGCTTTCGAAGGTTTGAAACAGAGCAAGGTCTGCGCCAGAGCGTGGAGGCTGATATCAACGGGCTGCGCCGCGTCCTGGACGAGCTGACCCTGTCCAGGGCCGACCTGGAGCTGCAGATTGAAGGGCTGAAGGAGGAGTTGGCCTACCTAAGGAAAAACCATGAGGAGGTAACACCCAAGAAACACTAGGAAAAGAGCCTGTGGAGTCCCTCAGGATTGCCCTCGGCTCTCCAATAGTGAGGCAAAGATTTCCATGTGGACTGGGATCCTCCCTGCCTCTGTTTTGGGGGAGTCAGTCAGAATGAGCCCTTGAAGAAGGAAGGTTCAGAACATTTTCAGTTTATGTTTGTACTCTCTCTTGTCTTCCTCTGCCTTGTCTCCCCAGGAAATGAGTGCCCTGGGAGGGCAAATGGCTGGACAGGTCAGTGTGGAACTGGACTCTGCTCCAGGCATTGACTTGACCAAGATCCTGGCAGATATGAGAGAGCAGTATGAAAACATGGCTGAGAAGAACAGGAAGGATGCTGAGGCTTGGTTCCACAGCAAGGTAAGAACCCTCCATAGCATACAAATACCAACAAAAATACCATGAAATAAAGACTATTAAACCACATGGAAAGCTGCTGTGACAGCCTCACGTGCCCCATGTTCCTCATGTGCTGCTTTCCCTGTTTCAGACGGAGGAGCTGAACCGTGAGGTGGCTGTGAACACTGAACAGCTGCAGAGCAGCAGGTCCGAGGTCACCGACCTGAGGCGCAGCCTGCAAGGACTGGAGATAGAGCTGCAGTCCCAGCTCAGCATGGTACGTCCAGGTCAGCACTGCCTGTGCCTCCCACTGACACAGGCTGCTCTTCCCCTCCCCACACAGAGTCCTGCTCCCAGCAGTGATCACTCTGTGGTTCCCCACACAGACTCCTGCTCCTGGCAGTGACCATTCTGTGGTTCCTCACACAGAGTCCTGCTCCCAGCAGTGACCACTCCGTGGTTCCTCACAGAGTCCTGCTCCCAGCAGTGACCTCTCCCTGGTTCCTCACACGGAGTCCTGCTCCCAGCAGTGACCACTCTGTGGTTCCTCACACAGAGTCCTGCTCCCAGCAGTGACCTCTCCGTGGTTCCCCCCGCAGAAAGCAGCGCTGGAGAGCACCTTGGCGGACACGGAGGCACGTTACGGGGCGCAGCTGGCGCAGATCCAGGGGCTGGTTGGCAGCATCGAGGCGCAGCTGGCTGAGGTCCGGATCGAAATGGAGCGCCAGAACACCGAGTACAAGCTCCTCATGGATATCAAGACTCGGCTGGAGCAAGAGATTGCTACTTACCGACAGCTCCTGGAGGGCCAGGAGTCCCAGTAAGAGCCTTTCTGCCTGGCTTCATTGAGCCTGGCCATGCCATGGTGCTTGTTTGGCACAGCAGCTCAGTAAACACAACTTCAGACACTCCTGGAGTTCTACAGCTCCTAACAAGTTCAGGTTTCTGGATCACGGTAGAGCTAGAAATGCTACAGCTCCATTCATGTGAAGTGAGATCTCGTGGAGTTTCTGGACAGGAAGGCAAACTGAGGAGCAGCACGAGAGATTCAGTCCAACTAAGAAGCTGCTTCACAGTCAGGGAACACAGAGCAGTTAGTAATGTTTTACAGAATAGAAAGGTTAAGACCAAATTCCCATAAACTTCCTGTTAGCAGATAGGTAGTTTTTACCCCACAGGAGTCAGTGTGGAAGCAGCTATGGGGAAGAGCAGAGAAGGAGCCAGACTGGCACTGCTCAGGCACTGAGCTCCCTGTTGTGTCACTCACAGCCTCAAGGAGGAAAAAAAATGAGGCAGGGGTTGAAAGGTTTTGGTTTTTTCCCTACTTCTTTTCTGTAATTGTGTTTTCCCAATGCAGTTGTTTAAAAATGTATTTCCTGCAACAATTCCCTCTCCTGAGCTGAGAAGGAGCACAGGGAGATGAACATCTCTGCTCTGACTGCACACACAACGTACCCGATTGACAGAAAATTTGCTTTCATCCACCCTCATCTCACACAGCACTTGATGTATTAACTCTCCTTTCACTTGTTCTCTCTCTGTCCCACAGGATGTCTGGCTCCTTTTTTGGAATTGCTGGTAAGAATCTTTTTTCTTTCAGGAGTTTTATTTTCTTAAAGGAAATGCACATAACTCTGGTAGTTGTGTCCCTTCTAGAGATTTGGGATCTGCCCTGATCTGTCACCGAAAACAATCTAATAAATAACAAATTATGTCTCTGGGTAGAACTGAACAAATTTCAGCCATTAAAAGATGTCAAACATCAGGAAAAATTCTGACTCTGCTACAGTAAAGTCTAAGTAAAGCACAGAACACTTAATCATTTCCCCAGATGAAAGGGCACAGGGATTGAAGCTTGGCCAGCTCAGGGAATTGCATGAACATGCCAGTAAAACCTGCCTTGAGCAGTTAGAGGCCAGTGGTGCCATGAAAAGGATGAGTCAAATCCATGTGATGGAGAGGAAAACTGGGAGAAGGGATGGAGAGACAAGGCCCAAGCTGAGCTCAGAGCCCATCACAGAGTGTGAGCTGTGCCTAAACAACTGTTCTTCTTTCTCTCCATGTCACTGCAGACAAAAGAGACAAGCTGGGAGATGGGAAACACTGAAGGTTCTCCAAAGGTCACCTTCAAAGTGAGAAAAAAGAGACAACAGCCAGGGATTGAAGCAGGGAGGAGTCACTGAACTGCTGGAAGTGACTGTTGAAGCGCAGAACATTTCTGGCCACACAAGGTTGAGGCAGATTCATTCACTTAGTGCTGATTAAGTTGTGAATTGGATCAGCTTTGCAGTTATTTCTAGGGCTTGCATGTACTGAATTGCTGCATCTACTCAAATAAAGATGATCTTCTTGCAATCTTTGCTTCTTTGGAGTTATTGTGGTATTTTCCTGGTCTGGCTTCATTCAGGCAGGAACTGTCTATCCAGACTGCCCAGAGGTGAATGCTCACAGTGTGGGGGTGGCTTGGGCTCCATCCTGACTCTTTCTAGCTCCTCTTGCTAGCAGGAGCTCAGAGCATAGAGGCAACAGCATCCTCAGCCCCTCAGTGTGGGGAACACAAGAGTCACTTGGCTCTCTAACTGCACTCTGCAGAGCAGAGACGTGAGGTGACTCTGGAGAGAGGCAGGAGCAGGGGAACCTTTTGCTAGGGCGAGATATAAAGCTGTTAAACTGGCTCCTAGATACCTCCCACGGGAACAAACAGGGCTGAGCAGCAGCTGTGAGAATTCTTCGCTGTGTTTCCCAGTTCATACAGAGGTTACAAACCTTTAGCACCCATTTCAGCCTCCTTCCCTCCCATGCCACTGAAAGGATATCATCCAAGCTGGAACTCCAAAGGGAATCACCCTTCCTTCCAGCCCCCAGAAACCAGTGATTTCATTCCCCACCATCCCTTGCCAAGCTGACAGCTGAGGGACCTTTCCAGGGCTTGTGCTAAAAGCAAACTACAGCTCCAGCCCAAGCAGCACCTTCCCAGCTCCCACCGTTAGCAGCGTTTGCTCCTCCGCTAAGGGGGAATGGATCAGCATGTCCAGGCTGAAAACATCCCAACACTGCTCTTCCCCAGAGGGGATCAGCTTGCAGCAGGGAATCATCACTAAATCCTTGACCATTTCTCTCCTTGGCCTTGAGAGGGAAGAATCATTTCCCCCCTGCTCGTAACTAGGCACTCACAACACATTAATGGAGTGTTCACCAAAGCTCTGGACCTCCTCTCTCAGGGTGGGGCAATTCTCCT